ACCCAGGCCTCGTCCTCAACGGGGTGCTCAGTCTGGGCACGGCCTCTGCCTCCGACGCCCCCTGCGGGGACCCAAACCCAGACACCGTCTTCAACGGGGTTCCCGGCCCAGGCAGAGCCTCCGCCTGACCCCCGCGGGGACCTGAACCAAGGCATCGCCCTCAACGGGGTTCCTGGCTTGGGCGGAGCCTCCGTCTCTGACCCTCTCCGGGACCCGAACCCAGATCTTGCCCTCAACGGGGTTCTCAGCCCCGGCGAAGCTTCCGCCTCCAACCTCCGCGGGGACCCGAACCCAGGCCTCACACTCGTCTGGGCTCCCGGTCAGGGCAGAGCTTCTGCCTCCGACCCCCGCAGAGAACCGAACCCAGGCCTGGCCCAGAACCCGGCTCCGCGGCCATCTGGGTCCGCCGCCTGGCTTTCACCCTCTGTTTCTGTGTCTTAGAGAAACTTTAAAGTCAGAACGCCAGGGACTTCACGGACTTGATCAACGGGCGTTTTAAAATAACCGATTACTTTATTCAACATGGGTTGTTTTTGAAAAAAGAGCTTTCGTAACGTATAACCCTTCCCACCTTTCAGCGTCTTATGTATAAAGCACCCTGAGTGTGCATGAGCCAAAGGAAATAGTATCGAGGAAGGAAATAATATGTAGGAAGCATTTTGGAAAGTGACCTGTCTTTGATGGTGCTTCTGGCACAATTTAGTCTTTGTATAAACCCAGAAGAGTGAAACCCCGGATGTGCACACGGCGTGAGCTGCCGTGAGACCCCAAGCCCTTTATTCTTAAAAGGGGTTTTATAAAGTCATTCTCGAATGAGATGGAATCTTAGCCAGTGAGAGAAAATCCAAATTTATCATTTTACACTGCTTTATTATTATTATTTTTTTGCACTCCTAAGACTGAAAATTGACATTGAGGGTTTAAAGGGAAAGATTTTCAGTTTGATAAATGACAGTCTGAGCCAGCATTGGAAGTTTGAAGACAAGTAAGGGAGTGATCTATTTTAGGAACCAGTTTCACTTTTCTATAGCATGCACACTTGTTGCTACCCTCATTTTGTAACCAATCTATTTGCCTTATGAGTGTGATTGCAGCTTTGAACATTCTGTACTATAACGGTTGCTAAGGAGAATAAGTCCTTCTGTTTTTCTCTTTAACATTTAAAATATCTCAATGCACATGATATAATTAAACACTAATGATGCCATAACTGCATAGCTAATACTAGCTGCTATTGCATGTTCCTAGATGCTAGAACTTGTCGGGCATGTGGTATACTAAAGCAATACCCATTAGACAAGGACATTTTACTTCTTCCAGACACCAGAAGAAATGACCTTCAATTATTTAAAAGAGACACAGAGACACCTCCAGCTATGTAGAGTTCTTCTTGCCTTGATTCAATTTATGGGAAAACTCCCAGTTGGGACTTGATCTCACAAATGGAATCACAGTCAAGATGAATCAGTAATATGCTTTGGCTCGGCAAAGCCACCATGCTGTTCGACGTTTTAAACAAGCCACATATTAGAGCACAACACTGTTTTTATGTAGTTTACATATATCACCATGACATTGAACCCTAAGATCATGACTGTGGAAAGAGGTGTAATAAACTCAGTTATATAATAAACAGTTCAAGGGGGAAATCTCTTCTAAAGTGTAATATTTGATGTTGGTTGTTTTCATCTTTGACTGATATTTATTTAGAAATATTTGAAATTCAATACATTTGAAAGTCACCTTATAACATTGAAAGTAATTTCAGTGATCATCTATCAGCATTCTGGCTGCTAATGACATCAAATCTGGACTCATACAGCCTCAATTAACCACATAATTCAGGGATGAAAACAGCTTGCTTTATTGCACTCCTGGGCAAGTTAAGCCAGGATATCAGGAACACTTGTGCATTTGAATAATTATGGGAGTCGCAGGGAACTCTGACATGTTTGTATGGAAACCAAACAAAACAAACATGTTCACCAATCAGAGTTTGGCTGTCATTTGCTCAATCTATCCTTTTTGTGCATGCACCCTTTCTCTTTTACTAAGATTTCACATGTTCCCACTTTCCTTGGTTCAAATAGTCAATTAAAGTTCTGACAACGATCCTTCTGAGTTTTTTTCCTTCTGTTTCTGATTTTCTTGCATGCCTCCTTGAAAGCACTGTCACAGAGGATATGGTATTTCGAGGCACTGGTGATGAAAGTGACCTCTTTTGGCTGGCTTCTTCCAATTTTTTTTTTCATTTCTAAACATATTCTTACTTTCCATAATTAAATAAGGTCCATATACCAGCATTAAAAAGAGGTAGGTATAATTTCCTTTCTGCAAGTGTTGGAGAACACTTGCAACGCAGCAGAGCTGAGGATTGTAGTTTTTGCGGGGAAGAGAGCTGAGGAGACACCGATCTGAATCTCTCCCAAGAAGGTCTTCTTTTAATCAGGCCCCATTTCTCACTGAGGATGCCGCCAATGATTTCCTCCGCTGGTCCCACGAACATTTGCCATCTGTGCAAACTCAGCTTCTCAAGTGTCTACTGGTGGCTTGCAGAGCTTCTGGTTAGCCCTGAGAGCTGTCTTATGCTTGCTCCATGCCCCGCGGGGAACCTACTTTAGATTAATTTACTGGTAATTAACTCCACAGGACTGATTCACTTTTAATTTCAAAGTAGTGATGATGTGTCTAAAAATACCTTACCAAGGCATCGACTGAGTGTTGGGGTTATTGTTTCTGCAAATTAAGTTAATGGAGATCGTGTTTTTATTTAAATGAAACCTCATATTATCCACTCAGGAATAAAAAGTCCTAATTGCAGTCGGAGCTGCCCTGCTTTGCCTTTTCTATTTTTTTCCTTTAGGTATATGCCTGTAAGTCAGACAGCCATCACCTCCTCTCCCGTGCATTTTGGTGACTACATTCTGGGATGTAATAGGTATCACCCAGCATGGCCCTTTTTCCAAAATGAAGTATGTGAATAAAAAAGAATTCTGTTTATTTTATTTTATTTTTTACTTTTATACAAGGGCATACAGAGGTGCCGTTTGTTTTAAACACTATAGGGAGAGTTTCATGGTTAGACAAGTTTCCCTGTGTCCCAGAATTAGGGGGCAAAGGGACCAGGCGTACTGGCTCACGTCTGTAATCCCAGCACTTTGGGAGACCGAGGCTGGAGGATTGCTTGAGGCTAGGAATTCAAAACCAGCCTGGGCAACAAAGCGAGACCTCAACTCCACAAATAAATAAATAAATAAATAAATAAATAAACCCGGCATGATGGCATCCCCGCCTGCAGTCCCAGCTACTCAGGAGGCTGAGGCAGGAGGATTGCCAAAGCCTAGGAGGTTGAGGCTTGGTGAGCCATGATCATGACACTCCAGCCTGGGCAACTGGTAAGACTCTGACTCAGAAAAGAAAAAATAATTAGGGGGAAACGTTTCTACCATGGGCATATTTTTTATCATGAGGACCCAGTTGGAGGATGCAGTGGAGCTAAGGGAGGGGGAAGGGGTTTATTTTAACCCTCTGATAAAGAACATCCTCGGGAAGATCTGCTCATCAACAGATCATGGGTCTGCCTTGAACACATGGTGCAGTGCCAACTTGATCTGATGACAGCCGTGTCATCAATCTCACTGTGTCATGTAACCTTTATCTCATCACCCAGAATTCAGACAGTGCTCACCTGGCCCTTCAGCAGTCCTATGAGCTGACTTGATGGAGAACCTCAGGACCTAAATTCAAGAACATGGAGAAAAGCTGTAAATGATACTCACTGTCAAGGCCCAAACTTCAGGTCTGTGGGTGACCAGGCAGGAGACAAGCTCCAGATGCAACTCCCAGTTGGGATGGGGGGGGCCTCATCTCCCTTTCAGTATCTCAGGGGGCCTCTTGCAGCTGTGTGTGCCTCAGCCCATGGGTCCAAGCTCCGCCCATGACCCTCCCTCTGCCAGACACCCTGCCCACCTCTGGGACCTAATGTGCACAGACAGAACCAGAGCATGCCCTGGAAATGGCCACTTGGGCAGGGAATTCCTTGGTGCTAAGTGCCAGCACCTGTGGAGGGAGGCACAGGCTCTAGGTGGTCATGTTTTCCTGGGGGAAGGATGGCCAGAGGGGGCAGACGCAAGCCCTTGAAAGCACGAGTTCCCGTTGGTACCCCACTTTCTCTGTACAGAGGCCTCTCCAGGCATCCTCTCAGGCTTCCCCCACCTGCAGAGACTACTTAAACAGGTGCATACACAGGGCCTGCCCAGACACTTAATCATGCCAGGCCTATGCAGTGGGTGAGGAGGATGGTGAGGACGGAAGGAGGAGTGTGTAGATGAAATAAGGGGGTGGACATTGATGGTTGTTGAAGGGGAGTGAGGTTACATGGACAGTTCTCACTGCCTTTTTTGGTGGGGGGGAGGGTGGGGACAGGTCTTTCCATGTTGCCTGGCTGGTCTCAAACTCCTGGGTTCAAGAAATCCTTCCACCTCAGCCTCTGAAATAGCTGGGATAACTGACATGTGACGTGTGCTCTGCTTTTGTGGTGTATCTTTGGAATTTTGCATAATGAAAAGTTTTAAAAAAGTGAGGTCAAACTCAAAAAAGAAAGAGAAAGAAAAAAAAGCGGAAGGAAGGGAGGGAGGAAGAAAAGAATGAATGAATGAAGGAAGGAAGAAAGGAAGGAAGGTAGCCAGGAAGGCCAAAAGAAAGAGAACAAATAAAGAAAGAAAGTAACCACCACTCCTAAGATCACACAGTGAATGAAGTGGCTGGGTCTCAAACCTTTGTCTGACTCTGGAGCTTGGGGTGGTAAGTCCTACGCTATAAGACAACGCCAGGGTGTTTAAGTTGTGTGTGGCATTCCCTCCACGATGCACCAAGACCCTGGGTTCCCAAGTTTGTCCCTCCCCTGCGTGTACCTGTGGCTATTACCCAGTTGGTGGATGTGCCCACATGACCTTTAAGTCATGATCCATGCTCCGGGTCTGAGCTGTGACGCAATCCAGAACCTTCCTGAGGCAGCCTCACTTTTCATAGCTTGCCCACCTCCATCCTCCCTTTCAGGAGTCTCATTTAGTCATTTTCGACCACCTCGTAAAAACGTCTTCACCCCAGCCATCAGTTCTGCTGCCACAGAACTCCAGCACGCTTTGTTCCTACCATCTGCTCCCTGCTCGTGTGATGTCTTTCTTAATGTTTGTATCCTTTCTTGTCTTCAAAACCACTATTGGAAAGAATTTTTAGGGAGAAGGATTATTTTTCATTTCTTTGACTTTTTTTTTTAGGGCAAATACTGTCTTTTATCCTTTTGTAACCAGTTATGTGAAATATATTCTATATTTAACATATATTTGTAGTTGAAGTGAGTAATTTTAAAAGAAAAAAGATTTGGTCCTTTCCTGGGCATGTTTATTTCTCTCTTTTTTAAAAAAATGTATATATTTATT